TTCTTTCCTTTTCCACAGTTCTTCTCTAATTCTCTTTCGGTCTCTCCACGTTCTTTTGCCCTCTGGTGCCCATGTTAAAGCGATTTTTAGTATGTCATTTCTTGTATATTTTAACTGTTGTAGCAATAAATTAGCAAGGACTTTGTTACTGTACTGTGATAACAGATGTGCATATTGGTAACTCATCAGAAGCAGATAATAAATAAAGGCCTGCTTAACCTACTTAATCATGCATGTAATGACATATTGTTGCATGTGAAATGAGCCGACAATAATTTTGAAATCCGTGTTGCATGGCAGGAGGTGTGGAATTCATATTTACGTAAGCGCCCTCATTACATTACCCTAGTTGCACACCCTTATCTTTATCCACTCTTGATCCTATCCATCTTACTTCATTTGATATGTTACAATAGCATATCATTTTCCCGAATTCGGTGGTTTTCATGGATTCTGCATTCCAAGAAAATTTTTAAAAGCGTTTATATTTCAGTTGTTTTTGTTTTGTTCTTTGTTAGATTCTTTGCACTGTACAGAGGACTTTTACCGAAAGTCATGCGACTAGGACCGGGTGGTGCTATTATGCTGCTGGTGTTTGAATATTCATATGAATGGTTGAAAAAAAATACATGATGATATTTTATAGATGTAGTGTTGCCAATATTTTATTGAAAGTTCTTGTCATTTGGAGTATTCTGTGCCGTTTACCAAATGTATCTGTTATGGTACCAGGGGGGGGGATAATCATAAACTATGCAGATCAAAGGCTTCTCATGTATAGCCTCACGTTACCAACTATTTTCAAAGATCTTTTTTTTCGATTGAGTTTTCAACTTCCTATGGCTTCATCAAATTTCTGAACCGCACACAGGATTTCCCGATTGAAGATTTGATAATATGGCAAAACAAAAATTCTATATGAAGCATTTTTCAGTTAGAATGGTCTGCGATGTACACCACACTCCCTTAATAATTAAGAGATAGACCAAGCAAAAATATGCTCATTACATACTTGCTAGGTTAATGGTTGTGTGTAGTATATGCTCTCAAAGCAGATTTGGACAGCAATGCATGGTGGCTAGATTTAATGCAGTGACAATGATAACTTAGTCGATTACAATGAAATTTGTCAGGTTTTGATCAGGATGGCTGATGAATGCTGTAACGTTGAGATTTGGTCTTTGGCCCAATTAAGTTAGTCAACATTTAAAGGGCTTTATCGAATGACCATGGTGCGAATCATTCATGGTAGTGACGTTTATTTCGCACTAAACATGTGCATGATAAACATCATAAGTCTGTGTATGCTGCAGTAGTATATATGCAGTGAGTATCACATTGTGTGATTGTACCGTTTAGTTAATTTAGTTTGAAAAAATATGGCAAGGAAGGGTATTATTTCTGCCGATTTTGAAAACCATATTTGCAACTTTAACTGCAAATACGCATTCATTACCCAGCTTAGACGTCATGCCTAATTAGCATAAATTAGCATATGATTCATAAGCATGGCTCATTAAAATCATGATTTCACTGTCGTTTTGACACTCGGTCATGTGATAAATAGGTTCTCAGGTGATTACGTAATAGTAATAGTGACTGTAATTATACGGGTTGCATGCCACTCAGGTAAATTTTCTAAATGTATTTTGATAAATTCTTATAATAATTGTCTATTTTAAAAATACATACTGCAATTTGTGTAAATTTTGGAAAAAAAAATCTGTATTGTTATATTAATAGCAAATGAACTTGGGTAAATGACTTGAGCGTGTCTGAGACGCATATTTTAAATTAATGTAATTATTGGTTAATGTGCCTTTTATTGGAGATGGACTTTACTAATAGAGCAAATATGTTATTTTTATCACAGCTGTAAAAAAAATGTGTCAAAGTGAAAATACTTAATAACAGGTTAATACATGTACTATGATTAGTTTTACTTCCAAGACCTCTGGTAGTGTAAACCACTTAATTTTTGCTGCTGGCAATTTTCTCGATTTAATGATTTTTATGGTATTCGTCAAGCCAAAAAGTCACGTACATTCCATGTGGTATGACCCCAGAGTAATTTTAACTTTAACATAATTTTAACAAATTACGCTGAACATTTGTCTCTTGTGAAATTTTATGTTTGCCACAAATTTATGAATGTTTTTAATGATAATTAAAAT